GACCATAGAAAAGCATCGCTTTGATATATCTACCCTCTGTTATTACCTAAAGCTGAACTAGAAGAGCTATCAATCTAAATTTAAAAAGTTGTGCACGTTCCTCTCCTGGACTGAAAATGCTTACTCTAATATCACTGCACACTGTGAGCATATCAAACTGTCTAGTGTATGTGTGCAGTGTGCATTGGAAGTTGCCGCAGGCCAGATAGAGCCCCCCTCATTTCCTGGGTGATGGACATCCAGTATATTCTAGCTTTTTCCTCCCCAGCCTTTCTGTCCCTGGCCTGCCCCTTTCATTCACTAGATTTCAGTTCTTTCAGTCAAGGAGGCTCAGTCTCATATGTGGGCAGTTTGCATGCAAATACAGTCTGTCTAGGAATGCCCACTCCTCCAGGTTGACATCTTCCCATCAAAGCATTTTGATATTTGCATAGCTTTTTCAAAGACTGAGGCATACGGGCTGAGGGCTCCTGAGAGGAGTACTGAGGTAGGACCTTCACAGCTTGGAGCGGTGGCTACCTTACAACACACATAGGGACCATGGTGTACAAAAGTAGCCACCCTCCGGAAGGACAGTGTCAGCACCAATTGAGAGATGGTTTGAGGATCTACAGCCGAGTAAATTGCTCAAATTTTGTTAATAGTGAAGGTCCTTGAATGCATTTTTAAGATTTAACTCCTGAATTTAGTGTCACTTTAACTTGCAGTTGAGATCAGTTTAAGAGCCTCCTGAGATTATTATAGGTATTTATATAGTTGCCGACAATTTACGCAGCACTTTACATAGTTGCACATTCACATCAGTCCCTACCCTCAAGGAGCTTACAATCTAAGGTCTCACATGCACACATAGAGGGCCAACTTAGAGAGGAGCCAATTAACCTACAAGCATGTCTTTGAAGTGTGGGAGGAAACCGGAATACCAGGAGGAAACCCACGCAAGCACAGGGAGAACATGCAAACTCCTTGCAGATAGTGACCTGATATCATCAAGAATCCTTCACAAGTGCATTTCACCTGCAGGTGACCTCATTTTGACCGGAAGTTGACTTCTTTCTAAGCTGCATTAACCTGCGTTTGGGTTCCTATTGACTTGTATGGGAAACGTAGCAGTTCTGACATGCAACAAGTCCATCAACACAGGGCCTTATGCTAGCCAAATGCTTTACAAGTGAAAAGCTTTCCATTAGTTTTAAACAAAAGCACTCTTCCACTAAAAGTTTTACTTGTTTCCCAGTTTAGTGTCACTCAAAGATTACAGTGGATATTAACTGAAATCACTGGAGTGGTAATAAATACATTTTTGATCAATTTCTATACCAATTTGCACTCATTTGTTCACTCGCAGCTGGGAAATGATTAAAGCCATGAGTGGTTGAAAGCTGATGCAAGCCTTCATAACTGCTGTGCATAGCCAGCATGAGAGCTTACTGATTAGAGCAAGGAGCTTACTTGAAGACGGGAAGGCACAAAGAAATGTCTGCCCTGCTTAAAGTGGTCTTTGGTTTTCTACTATTTGTAATATTTACAGTAGTATTCTATCATCTAAACTACAAGTCCCCTCTGAATGGCATTCCCAATGTGGAACTGTGCAGCATTGACATCCTTGCTTACATTCCATGAGATCACCAATCATGGGTAGAGCAAGGCATCAGCCAAACAAAAGTCATTCAGTCTTTCACACAAAAAGATTTATATCCTGACCTCTATGTCTCTCATTCAGAACTACATCTAACCTCTCTTGACTATACCAAGCAAACCTCCAGGGGATCCAGATGCACAACTCATCTTGCAAGGGTCCACCTGTACCCATGGGTAAGTGGTCCTTAATTTCATAACTACTCTCTCTTTACACAACATCTGTCAAGCTTCATCATGCATCATTCATTTCCAGTCTCTCACCTTCTCTTCCTCATAAAATGATCACGCAGAGCACCACAATATATCACTTTGACTTATTCTCTGTGGGCATTTACCAATTTCATGCCAAAAGCCACCTGAAGGAATTATGAATCCAAGTAACCACCAATTATTGGTTTTCCTTGTTCTTGGGCAGCTCCTTCTAGGACCCAAAATACACATATTGCAGGACTTGGCATCTCTTTAATGTGTTTGCTGCATACAAACAAGCATGTACTGCATTTTTAATGTGGTTCCAATTATTCCTATAGAAGATGCACTCTATGGAAACAAAGAGTAACTGCACTAAGTGGGATATTTATTTATAATGGAAACATAGAGAAATATGAAGGCTTCCATTGCTGAGGTTCTGAGATTGAATGCATGGTTGCCCCTGGCTTTGGTAACTCCAGAACCTCAAATCCACGTATATGGTGTAAGTCAGTGGCTTAGAAAGAACTTATGCCTTTGGATCAACGTGACAGCTTGGAAACTATCATTGTCTGAAAGAGAGTTAAAGGAGAACTATGGGGTTAAGGCTTTTCCCCTTAGTTCTCCTTAGGGTAACGGGAGGACACAAACTAGCGTCCTCCTGTTACCCTCAGCTCAGTATACCCTGAGCTACAGCTCGCGGTATACTAAGACGCCACAGTATACCACGAGATACTGCTTGCGGTATACTGAGACGCCGCAGCTGAAGCGGATCCCGACAATTATGCCTGGATCCGCCCAGCTGCGTGAGTGACAGCTGGCTCTGCCTATCTAGAGGCAGAGCCAGCTGTACCCGCCCCCTCCCCCAGTCAGCGCTGGCGGATCGGAGCGGGGGGAATCCAGCCCCTCTCCTGTCACGGCAGAGAGCTATGACAGGATCGAGAAGTGAGCTGTTCGCTCACTTCTTGATCTACTGAGCCGACCTGTGACAGTCTCATTGTCACAGGTCGGCTAGAACTATGAGGTGAGTGAAAAGCACCCACCTCATAGTTCTCCTTTAAGCAAGGCTGCCTTTATATTTTTAATACAAAATCTTCTCAGAAAAAAAAAAAAATTCACAGAAAAATTTATAGTTGAAGACCGTACCATGTAAAATAATGGCTTAGAATGTCCCATGCATTTCGAATGGAATCTGGAGCTCCAAGATAAGCAAAAGGATCTAGGGAACCAAGAAAGGCAGAGGGATCTGGGGAACCAAGAGAGAGGATCTGGGGAACCAAGAAAGGCAGAGGGATCTGGGGAACCAAGAGAGGCAGAGGGATCTGGGGAACCAAGAAAGGCAGAGGGATCTGGGGAACCAAGAAAGGCAGAGGGATCTGGGGAACCAAGAAAGGCAGAGGGATCTGGGGAACCAAGAAAGGCAGAGGGATCTGGGGAACCAAGAAAGGCAGAGGGATCTGGGGAACCAAGAAAGGCAGAGGGATCTGGGGAACCAAGAAAGGCAGAGGGATCTGGGGAACCAAGAAAGGCAGAGGGATCTGGGGAACCAAGAAAGGCAGAGGGATCTGGGGAACCAAGAAAGGCAGAGGGATCTGGGGAACCAAGAGAGGCAGAAGGATCTGGAGAACCAAGAAAGGTAGAAGGATCTGGGGAACCAAGAAAGTTAGAAGGATCTGGGGAACCAAGAGAGGTAGAAGGATCTTGGGAACCAAGAGAGGCATAAGGATCTGGAGAACCAAGAAAGGTAGAAGGATCTGGGGAACCAAGAAAGGTAGAAGGATCTGGGGAACCAAGAAAGGTAGAAGGATATGGGGAACCAAGAAAGGTAGAAGGATCTGGGGAACCAATAGAGGCAGAGGGATCTGGGGAACCAAGAGAGGCAGAGGGATCTGGGGAACCAGGAGAGGCAGAGGGATCTGAGGAACCAAGAGAGGCAGAGGGATCTGGGGAACCAAGAGAGGCAGATGGATCTGGGGAACCAAGAGAGGTAGAAGGATCTGGGGAACCAAGAGAGGTAGAAGGATCTGGGGAACCAAGAGAGGTAGAAGGATCTGGGGAACCAAGAGAGGCATAAGGATCTGGGGAACCAAGAGAGGCAGAGGGATCTGGGGAACCAAGAGAGGCAGAGGGGTCTGGGGAACCAAGACAGGTAGAAAGATCTGGGGAACCAAGAGAGGCAGAGGGATCTGAAGCAACAATAGAGGTTGAGGGATCTGGCAAACTAACACAGGCTGAGGGATCTGAGGAACTAAGAGAGGCAGAGGGATCTGAGAAAACAATATGGGCAAATTAATCTGGAGCTCCAAGATAGGCAGAGATATCTGGGGAACCAAGAGAGGCAGAGGGATCTGGAGCGCCACAAGGGGGATACGAATCTGGAACACCAATAGACGCAGAGGGATCAGGAAAACCAACACAGGCAGAGAGATCTAAGGAACCAAGAGAGGCAGAATGATCAGCAGAAGCAAAGGGACAAAGGGATTCGGGAAACCAAGAAGGACAGATGTGTCTGGCCCACCAAGAGAAGCAATGGAATCTGGAGCAGCAAGACAGGCAAGGGAACATAGACAGGCAGAGGGATCTGGGGAACCCATACAAGTAGAGGGATCAGGTGAACCAAGACAGACACATGGATCTGGTGACGCAAGACTGACAGAAGGATCTGAGGAAAACGGGGCAGAGAGATCTGAGCCACAGAGATGGGTAAAGTGATCTAGGCCACCAGAAGTTAAGGGATCTGAATAACTAAAAAGAGCAGAAGCATATGAAAGAGAACAGAGGGCAACTAGGATAGACAAAGGGATCTGGGGAACCACAAGGGGCAGAGAGATCTGGGGAAACACAAGGGGCAGAGAGATCTGGGGAAACACAAGGGGCAGAAAGATCTGGGAACCACAAGGGGCAGAGAGATCTGGGGCACAATAGGGGGTGCAGAGGGATCTGGGGAACCATGGGGAGTGCAAACAGATGTGATGAAGCGGGATGAATGGGGCATGTGAGGCTAAAGAGCGGCGGCGGCTGGTATCTGTGATCATTCCTCCCTCTCCCCATAAAGTGAGCTGCTCTGTCTGCTCCTACAGCCAGCCTAGCTCTGCACTTCCTCCTTCCAGGCAGTGGTTGTCAGGCTGCGCTCGCAATAAAGTTATTCCAGAAAAAAAAATCCGGGGAGGCGGTGAGGCCGGCAGCCGTGACTGCAGATAGAGGCGGGAGCGGAGCGGCCACATACACCTCACTCCGGGTCAGCTTGACTGAATGAGAGAGACTGCCAACCTAAGCCCCATCCAGGAGGGAACCCGCCAGCTTGCACACAGCGCCATGGACGGATTCGCCGGCAGCCTGGGTGAGTGCGGGGTAAGGGGAGACACCTGGGGCACCGTGCTGGGGGCTGAATGCCTGTCCATACACCCCGCATACCTCTACTGAGGGTGACCGTCTGTCCATACACCCCGCATACCTCTACTGAGGGTGACCGTCTGTCCATACACCCCGCATACCTCTGCTGAGGGTGACCGCCTGTCCGTACACCCTGCATACCTCTGCTGAGGGTGACCGCCTGTCCGTACACCCCGCATACCTCTGAGGTTGACCGCCTGTCCGTACGCCCCGCATGCCTCTACTGAGGGTGACCGCCTGTCCGTACGCCCCGCATGCCTCTACTGAGGGTGACCGCCTGTCCGTACGCCCCGCATGCCTCTACTGAGGGTGACTGCTTAACCTGACACTCTGTATACTAATGACAGGGACTGACTACCTTGCTGTGTCACCTTGAATTGGGATGATGCCCTGTCTGTACACCCTTTGCACTAACAGCCTGTATACTAATGATGGGACAGACTGCCTGCTTTATATCCTTCATGCTCAGAGGTTGGGGGGGCTGACTGAGTATGCTGACACCCATCATACTGCTCTGAGGACTGACTGCCTGATTTGACTCCCCACATACTGTTTGGGGGGCATTCTGCATGTGCTGATACCCCACATCCCACTGCTGTTGTATCTCCAGGTCGCGAGGGTTACAGCTGCCATTGCGCCTTCTGCCCTCCTGTGAATGGTTAGACTTAGAGAGATGAGCTCTGCTGCCATTGCTTGCCATTATGTCTGCTATCGGCTATACTGTGTAATTGCCATGTAGGTGCTACCACCTCATGCAAATCTATAGTGGGGATTTTCATTTCTGTATTGTGAGGGATTCCATCCAGTCAGTGTGCGGGCCTGCGTGTCACCTACCTACCAGCTTGGATGATGCTTACTAATGTATAAATGATAGCATACATTATATGCAGTGCAAATGGTGTGTGTGCACATTCTATGTGTGTGTGTGTGTGTGTATTCTTGATCTTTCTTTGCATTGCCATATATTTTATCTACCTGATAAAAAAGAAAAGCTGCCTATATCTAGATCTATCATGGATCTCTCTTTATAAACCTCCAACCTTTAAAAGTGCTTCAAAATTGCCTGCAAGCACTGAAGCATGACTGGGGGCTGGTTGTAGCTTGTTGTGTGGTGTCAATGGCTTCCAGTAATCGGAATGTCTTGTTGCAGCACCTTTTACACGGGGCAGATGCTGCAGGCAATTCTTGAATTGGTTGCTTCTTATGGGACCTGATAATGGCTGGATTTAGGCATGTAACTGTAATGTCTTCCTTATATTGTAAAGCGCTGCACAAACTGTTAGCGCTATATAAATCCTGTATTATAATAATAATAATAATAATAATAATAATAATAATAATAATTTTTCATTTCTGCTGCGGAGGGCACATAGGCCGGTGTTTTTGAATCGCGCTGTGCAATCTTATGGCTTTTCCTATGGTTGTGATTTTTGCCTTGTTGCATTACACGGAGTTCTATTCTCTGAGCTTCGGAGCTTTTGGTGTTTTTTGCATCGATCCTCTGATGCCCCGTGTACCTCTCAGACTATAGTCACCATCATTTTATCCTGTGTGATGTCTTAGATATGGGTAAAGGTTCCCAGCTGTGTGTCAGACAGAATGTTTATCGTCTCTCCTGTTCATTGTAAATACTTTTCTTCTGCTTGGATATTTGGAAAGACTTTACAATAACAGTCTGTTACACTATAAATTGCTTTAAGTAATGATTGTTTATGATGAATGGAGCACATGTTGCACAATGCTGTTAGAATCTGTGTTGCAGTTCAGCGACATTAATGCTTCACCAGAACAGGAAGTTATAAGCACACACCATTAAGCAGACATTTACATGTGCAGGAGCAATCTACTGTCTGCTTACAACTGACATAAACATAACACAGGCTCACAGGTTAAAAAATGTGTTTCTTGTATATTTTTTTTTTTTTTACATTGGAGCCAGTGAAGCATTGAAACTGCGATGAGTGGATTATGGGTACAATGCTCCTTCTCCTGCGGACTCTTCTTCCTGTCCATGCCTGTACCTCGGTGGAGACAATTAGAAACATGGATGGGAGCAAGAATGAATGGACACCGCTCCAAGCTCCCTCCCGTGATGGACTACAATCTCCGTACGAATTAGTAAACTACACATGAGATTGTAGTCTATCATGAGAGGGAGTTTAGAGCAGTGACTACTTTACAACACACACAGGAACCATGGGGAACAAAAGTAGCCACACTCCAGAAGGAAGGACCAATTCAGAGATGATTTGAGGATCAACAGCCGATTGATACACAAATAAGATACATTTTTGATAATGGTTAAGGTATTTGAATGTGTTTTTTAAGATTAAATTCCTGAGTTTAGTGTCACTTTTAGGCCTCATTCACACTGCCGCACATATACGCGCGCATAGTACCATATGCAAATAAATGGCTCCATACACATAGCTGCGTATTGGAGCCGTATATTTGCGTAGCGTAAAAATGCGCAAAAACAGAATGGAACAGAGATGCATGCGGGCAGCGTATTTCTGCGTATTTACACGCATATACGCGTGTTTGCGCGCACATACGCACGTACAGTTAATTAACATTTCTATTACGAATTATGCATTGTGGGATTAGTGCACGCATATACGCACACGCGCACCTGCATTATACGTGCGTATATACGCAATATACAAATTTGCTCTTGCGTTGTGTGTGAATGAGGCCTAAGGAACCTGAGTGTGCAACAGAGAATGTAAACATCTGACACTCCGGAAGTGTGGGATGTAAACATTCTTCAGGCTGCAGCTCTTGAATATACGGACTAACGGGTGCAAATACAGATGTATACAGCGTAGAATAGGCCTGTATTCGCGGAGCCCCTACACCAGGGGTAGGCAACCTTGGCTCTCCAGCTGTGCTGAAACTACAAATCCCATAAGGCATTGCAAGCCACAGGCATGACTCCCAGAGGCAGAAGGAGGATGGGATTTGTAGTTTCAGCACAGCTGGAGAGCCAAGGTTGGCTACCCCTGCCCTGCTCCTGACAATTATCTGGAGATTTTTGTCTGTGATTGCGTTTTCGTTAATTACTACACAACTGGCAGATTTTTGTCTTTCAAGCAGGTTAGAAAATGTTTGTCTAGTTGGATGAAAATTGACAGGTTAGTGGGGTTTCTGTACAACAAAAATCTCCAGATGAAAACTGCACATGCTCAAACGAAAAGCTGTTCTTTCAATCGATGAAAATTGGCCAGTTAGTGGTGCTGATGAACGTTAATTGCGAACTACATTGGTCTGTGCGTGATGGGCTAATTGAACGAGGGTGAGATGTCTGGCCAAAAAAAAAGTTGTACAAAGGTTGTAAGGTGTATGGCCACCTTAAGATTGTATGGACAGAAGTTCCCAAATGCAGAAATTTTGCTTTTAGAAAATGTGTACGGTAACCACTGGTATCGGAGTATTACATGCATACATCTGCTTCCAGCATATTCTATGGACAAGAAAACGCAGCAGGTGCCACAAGTACATGTGTATTTTATGCTGTATGACTATACCCTTGTATTTGTGCCCCTGTACGTGAGCCCTAAAGCCTCTTTTACAGGTGTAATGTTGTTGCATTTTTTTTTCTTCTAACCCAGCAGTCATGTTGAGTTCAGTTTTGCGTTGCTCTGTCTTTTTCAGTCCTGGCAGTAATGACTTTGCTCTTGCAGTCTGTTTCTTACAGAATCATCAATTTCGAGTCCATTATGTGTGTCATAAGCTTCTATTTTCTCTGATTGCAAGATATTGATTGTTGTGTCTTGTAAACAATAAAACCTTTAGGCCTGGTTCACACCTGAACGTTTTGTAGTGCGTTCAACGCTCAACGAACGCTCTACAAAACGCTCAAACATCTGAATCCCATTGTATTCAATGGGTCTGGTTCACACCTTGCCGTATTTCCGGCCTTCCGTACGCGATACAAAACGGCCTACGCCCAAAGAAGTACATGTACTTCTTTGGGGCGTTTTGGTCTCGGGTTTCCATTGGGATACAGCCAAGTAGCCCTCGGAAACGGGCGTTTGTCGCGCTTTTTTACCGCGATCAAAAAACGTGCGAAAACATGCGAAACGCGCGACAAACGCGCATATTCAATACGCCTAGGTGTGAACCCAGCCTTAAATAGCTTTTTAAGTCTTTTGCTGATCCGATTATTCTGTCTCATTTTTATTTATGGTTTTACGTTTTGTTTTTTTTCTCCATGCTTACGTCCGTATCATGTATTGCTGTAGTAAACAGTTGCTGATACTAATCCAGCGGAAAAATGCTTACAGTTCCAAATTATATAGCCCAGGTGTGATATAAAACTGGTGCAGAATATGCAATATACTCTTGAGTAACAGCCCGGGCAGAGTGATTACAAATCCTGTATATGTATATATATATATATTGTATTGTTGAAATTCTTTCAACTTCATGTAACGGGTATCTAAACCTGAGAAAAAACATTTGTGATGCAGCTTACCGATCCTTAGATGTGGTGTCTGCATTCGTTTTCTGTTTTAAGTGCTAGGTCACACCAGATGCAGTTGTGATGCAGTCCGTTCAGTTCGGCAGTTCCATCCGAAATGCATCACAATGCTTTCCTATGGGATTTCTGGTGTTTTGTTCACACCAGTGCAGTCCGTTCCAATGCAGTCAGAAAAAATACTGCTTGCCCTATTTTAGCTGCAATGGAATGCATGCAAACGCACTGGAACTCACCTGAAATCCAATTTTTAAGCAAAAGAAGAAAAAGCGCATGAATCCCGTTCAAATTGCACTGCAGCTGCGCAGACGTACACAGTTTTGGTGTGAACTAGCCCTAAGGCTTTTTTTACCCTTTTATTTTTATCTGGTAATCATGCCAGTAACATATGTTTCCTGCCCCAGGGTTACACTGCTAAATATACTGTATATGTGGAAGAGCAACATTTTCACCCTAGGCTGCTCCAG